AAATTAGGAATATTGGTCTTCATAATTGAATCGTGTTGTCAATTTTATAAAGTTCGAATTAAAGGGGATTGATATAAGGGGATTCGGGATCCTAGTACGCATTTCATTATCATATTTTTATAAAACTTGCATTTAGTTATAATCACGCATTTAATTTAGTTAATTCAGGTTTTATATTTATAAGTAGGTTATTAAATCATAATTTATTTAGCGAAAATATTAAGAATTTTTATTGTTTCGGTTAAGGCGACGATAGGTAAAATTGAACTAATCAATCTCTGTGGGACGATATTCGGACTCATTTAATCCACTTTATTACTTGTTAACGAACCGTACACTTGCGGTAGTTTAAAATCGAAAGGAATAATTTCGCGAACAGTAGGCAGTGGTATGTGCAAGCGATGGTAGGCACTGAAGTGCACAAACAGCGATAGGCATTATCATGTGCGATCTCTCTCTTTTTTTGTCCTATCTCTCTATTGTTCGCCGTTCACGGGCATTGTTGTGCACAAACAATGCTGATGATGGTACACATGCGGTTGGTGGTTTGCAGCATCGGTCTGATTGTGAAATGACGGGAGTTTGGCCGTGATCTGGTGGCGATTTGATCGCAATCTACAGCAGTGGCTATGACGGGAGTTTCGGGAGAAATCTGGCTTTAGGCCACCATGCGATTTGTAGTGGTTGATGATTGGTCTGGGCGCGGTTTGGTTTGAGTAGGTTTCGACTCCAACTCGAAATCAAAATTAAATTAGTCGGTTTGAACAAATTTTAAATCAAATCAACTCACTCTATCTCTTAAGCCGAATCGAACCAAACCAAATCAATTCGGTTTGATTAATCGGTTTGAACTTTTAGTCTAAATTTAATTTTTTTAAAAGAATTTGTTCAAGTTTTAGGCGACGTAAATTACAAGAACTAAAATAATTAAATAATTTTATATTATAATAACTATTGATTAACAAATAAAATCATGTTAATAGAGACGGATAAAAAAAAAAGTTAATTTTTTTTATGTATTATGTAGTCTGACTGCCTGAATATGAAACACATGCGAAGTATAATAAAATAAGCTTGTCAAAGAAAATTTTCAGTGCTATTACTTACTGGGAACATCATAGATTTGAGAGAATCGAGATATAGTTATGAGATTAGAGTTTATCTTTTAATTTTTATTTTTCTTAAATTAAAAAAAAAAGTGAACACGTAAGTGGGTTGGGTTGGGTTGGGTTGGTTCGATTAACCAATGATTTGAAATTTAGAAACTTCAAACCATGATTGAACCAACCCATCATGATTTTGTTTAAAAGAAGACCAAATCAAACCAATTACCTGTATCGAACCAACTTAAACCGACCCAAGTCGGATCGGTTTGATTGGTTTGGTCGATTTTTCAATTTTTTTACCCAACCTGCTTGACAACAATTATGCAATAGGACAACGATTATGTGAAGTAGTGGTGATTTTTGGTGGTTGGTGTTGGTTTGTTTGAATGGTGGAGATGATGGTGGTGGTGTCGATTGTCATAAGGTGTTAGTTTTGGCGATGGTGTATTAGCAATAGTGCTATCGGAGGTAGTGGTAAGGTGGTGATTGTCATAGATTTTTTAGTTGATTCTGACCAATAAATTGGTTAATGTGTAACCAATAAATAATATATGGACGCTTAACTTGAAATTTGTTAAGTTGTGATCAATAATTTGTAACTAATTAATTAGATATTTTGTGACCATGAAATTAGTTGCGACTTGTAAAATTTGTAATTTGTGACTAATAAATAATTGTGACCTGTTACGCCCCTCATCAAACCACTTCGGCACGTCTAGGCCCACTATTATACGAGGAGCCACGTGTCCCTACGAAGTGTTTCCGAAGCGATGTCAACCCCGGTCGAACTCTAACTTGACGAAACGCAAGGTACACACAAAACAAACTAAATCTACTGAAGCAACCGAAGCGTCCCCTGAAATCAAAGTGTTTGACACTCCAAGGTGCTCCCTTAACAGATTCCTCCATCGTTAGTTTCAGAAATATATCTGTGTCAGGGTCTTCTATGGGTGACATCTCCATTGGTCTAGTTGATGTGATATATCAACTCAACTAAGGAGAATTAATAACCCGCCCACTTTAGACGCGACTGATTGACGCCTGCGAGTAGACGTTTCACACCGTTAGATGCATACAAGTGTCCCACATCCAACGGTGCTCATCGTCTATAAATACTCAAGGTTTGACAAGAGACAAAGGTAATGAAACTTTCTCAAAACTTGACACTCCACATTCAAGCATTATATATTCTCCTCCCCACTCTCTTGTACAATTTCGACACCATTCCGATCATCGATCATTGACTTGACCGTCGAAGTGTATGCGGTCGCCACCACCCCAACTGTATCCGGCCATGTGTTGTTGTGCGTAGGAAGGAACGCGTGGAGTGGCTCTTGGTTGGCCACGTGGAGGTCCAATTCGCGAGGTCAACAGATTGACGCCGTCTGTGGGAACTTCCAACCAAAGAATTCTCCATCTACCACCGGAAAAAGCCACCAAAAAACTATTAACTTACCTTGAAAAAGGGACAATCTTGAAAAAGAACCAAGTCAACTTATA